TAGTTAATATGAATATGCCTGAAAAGTAGCTTTTGTTTGCATCCCTGAATATGTGTATGCTTGCTTCACTATCACAAGGGACAACGAAGATCCGAACAAATACGAGTGAACCGCCGCAAGAAAACCTTTATACGATGGCTCGTCAGCGCGTTGGCCGGAGGAAAATCTGCCATTTGCTTACCAATGGCAGCGATTTTCTAGGAAAACAATCAGGTGAAGGTTTTAGGACATGTGTTACGCGCGTCAGCTCTTACAGCGAAACTCACCGGCATCGAGGGACTGTGCGGGCTGCTGGCTCGGCCTGCACATAATGTTCCTGGCTGATTGTCGTTGGCATCACTCACAGTCGACGAGATCACACCAACATAAACAAGCAGAGGAGCAGGCAGAACGCCGTACTTGTTAGATAGTATAGTTACACCTACCTTGTTAAATATAGAGAAGCGCGCGGGAGGCGCGTTCCCGAAGGGTGAAAGCTAGCTAAGGGAAGAAAGGCAAGTTGGGAAGGAAGGGCCCCCACGCAAACAAAAATGAGTGATTCCCTTTACGCTAAGTTCCGAAGACCGGCTGGGGTAAGCCGCTAGCTAGAAGCACCAATAAGTAAAAACCAGCCAGGCGAGAGATGTGATGGAATTGAGCGAAACCACTGACAGCGACCGCGGGGTGCATAGGACGCACTGCATCCAATGGGCAAGAGAAAACTTAAACACACAATGTACATATATATACGGTGGGGTGTTTGCAGACAGCTTGTCTTTCACTGAGAAAAGAACATAGCCCCCTCAATAGGTCGAATAGGGCTTAGGACAAAGGCCAATGCCTAAAACTCTTGCATCGGTATCATACAAAAACTCACAGTGCAAAGGTGCGTGTTATTGTGCATACGCTCGTGGAGAATTAGGCAGCTTTTTTCTGTAGTCGGACGTAAACCTGTCGTTTCTTGTTTACTGTATATAGTAATTCGTGTTCAAAAAATAGTTACTAACGTACTTTTTACACAGAGTTGTGTCGAAAGTATTCCCATCAGTAAAGTGTTGCTATTACGTATAATGTAGCACCTCAGAATTGGCAAAATTGAAAGCGAGGAGAATTTTATGTACGCAGCTAGCGTAAAGCGACAAACCAGCCAAGCGCACCATTGGTTTCTACCAGCGGGTGTTGCCGATGTAGCAACAGACAGCAGTGCTAAATCAGCTCTAGTAGAAATTTTTGCAGCCTGCTAGATTAAGTGAGATTGCAGCTTAGAAATCAACGCTAAAAGCAAAGAGTGAAGCAACACTGCCACTAGACGGGGGCGAGGGGGCGATCCCCGTAGCTGGTTCCGGCTGACGAATAGGCGTGCGGCAGGAACGACTGCCTCCAACCCGCTTGCCTTAGTAATTTGTGACCCTTGGTCTAGGCTGTCTTCGTCCTTCTTTCCAGCTGCTATACAACAGCCCGTTTTACGGAGTGACGCGCTTCCTTGAGGGGATTTTCTGAAGAATCGCTTTTCCTGACTACTCCCCGATTCTCCATCTGCAGTCAGAACGTAATTGGACGGCCCTTTAGAACCTAACGGACTAACCCTCTGCTGCCGACTCCGCTTCTTCCACCACCATTTACAGCTTTCAGGAAAGACCAGCGAGTCGTGACCGCAGGTGGAGCTGTTCCCAACTCCGACTAAAGATTGTCTCCTTTTGCTAAATGCAAACTTACTTCTGCAGGTGGAGTCTCTGGGCGTCAGCCACGCGAATTCAGTAGATGGCAGCGACATCAAAGCCAGACTTCGTACTCGCTCTGTTAGGCATGCACAACTCGTAAAGCAAATACTTGAAAAAATGAACACAGAGGATCCCCTTATGCTACTGAGTACGTAACTGCGATTTTAACATAGACGCGTACCAATACCGTGAAATCACCATCCTTTAACGATAAGGTTTGCCGGTGCAGGAGTTACGATATACTGATATCGTAACTTTGCCCGTTCAAAATTACGATGAGGGGATGTAGACTAATAAGTAAGTACAATTGTTATTTGCCCTGGCTCACTGAGAATGACTGGTAAAGCAAATTTCATTTTTATGTAATCAAGCGAACTTCGACTGGGAATAGATGTTTCAAAGGATTGAGGCAATATGGAATATGCAGTACGACAAATAATTCCGTCATCATAAATCGAAGTACAACAAAGCCAATACGTATCACAGAATACTAGAAGAATAGAATGAGCATACACAACAATCCCGTGTTTTGTACATCCAAGTTCTATGTGGCAAATATGACAAAAGCATAACTCGGCGATTCGAAACTGATTTATCTAACTATCATAAATTGTCTTCTGTATGTAGAACAGGACTGTTGAGTTTTAATACTTCTTAGCGTAGAGCAACCGCAAAGCAAATGAAATTACCTCAGTTGTAGCGTGCAGTCACTGCTATTTTCATCCCTAAAAAGCTCGGTACAATTAGATAAAGTTCTTGTACCACGAAACGACGTTCAATATCGATTGGGCTAATAGTGTTTCGAAGAAACACCGTTGACTTGTGTTGTCCAGCTATTACCGACGAGCTAAAAAAAAAGAACGTTTTCTCATCATTTCTCAAATTCGCCATCTTCCTACGAAGTCTCTGGCATGCTTCGCGTCTTCTTTAGGAATATTTAGCGAACGTTCATTGACCAATGCAAATTTTGTCTCTTGCAAGCGATACTTAACCGTTAACCGTTAGTCAACCGTACGCCAGCCATTTGTTCATAAATTGATTGGCGTAGATGTTTCAATACCTTATCGTTTTCAGAGAGAACGGTCCTAGTCAAGGGTTGGCGGTCAAAGCAGCAGACCCCTTAAACCTGCTCTGAATGACACCTTTCAAGCGTAGGGTCACGTTCTTTAGGCTTGCATGTCTATTGCCGCACTTCTTTGTTCCTGCAGTCTCTGTCTCGTGCAGATTTTTGCAATTTTCCGTTCGTTGCTTTTACTCCAGCGCCACTGCGTCGACACTCGATAATTCCCTTCACACTTGTGCCCTTACCCTTTGGCCAGGCCAGCCCCACCAGATCTAGTAGAAGCCCCCGGGGTATTAAGCGTGTCGTTGTGCTGCGGATTACTACACGTAGCGGAAACCATGTGTATGGGCGATCTATAGTGGGTACTGGCATCGTTTTTTCGCACGAACTTCGTGGCACCAGGTCTGGAAGTATGAGACAAAGGGAGCATAGTCGCCTGTTTTGTTCATAGATAGTTATTTTGGTTTTTATGAAAGGACAGTATACATGAACGACTGAGTTCATTTCCCCGTCCGACGAAAATTACTTAAGTAGAGTTTCGGTTTCCAAGTGGGCATATTCATTTGTCGTTCAAGGCTTTTTAGCACTCCTAAGCATGCAGAATCCATGAGTCCTGAGGTTGTCGGCGATGTAAAAGCCGATGCGTATAAAGCAACCTGTTCCAACAAATCGACGTGCCCCGTTCGACCTCATAATAAGCTGCAGTCCTACCTTTGCTGTCGGCTTTCTCTTTCTTGGCTTGACTTCTATCCTGTATTACTCCTCCGTATTTCGAATTTCTATTATCTATTATTGGAGAACTGGCATGGAGGACGAAAAGGAATAGCCTCTATGCTCAAGTTTTAATTCAATTTATGTTGTACACAAAAAAGGAAGACAGTCAAGATTCAGGGCTCAAACCGGTATTCTATGCACTTCACCAGCTAATTAGTTCATGCGTTTTTTTTTTACCATACACCCACAAACATTTGCACATACTCGGAAATGAAGAGTCCTCTTTGACAACGGAAGAGCTACATCTGATGAGAGGGTCTACATCTCAGTAAAAGGATTATCAAGCCGGCGAACTGAGTGTGTTCTTTGAGTCGAGTGAAAGGGAGGGGTAAATTTTAGCTAGTCAAGAAATATAAAGCTATATTTCTCGTTAACTCTCGAACTAGCCATTTGGTGCAAGAAAGAACGTTACATATTTGTAGACACTGTAACAGATTGATTTGATTCGCTAATTAAAGCACTATTCTAAGCCCCTTTTGCATATAAAGGTCTTTATTTACAGTGTGCTAATCTCCCGTAATAACTGTCATAAAGAAGAGTGTCCTAGCTCAATTTAGTCATATATATATATATATATATATAAGTAAGGTTATTATTCTTTTTCTAGCCTTATGAGATCGGGTTTTGCTGTTCATAAGCGTTTTGTTGCGAAACCGGTCAGCATTGAGGGCAATGAAATGTAATATTGATAGAACGATATATTTGAGTGGCAAACTCATGTTCCAGTGTGACCCGTACGAATGAGTAATTTAGGAGTTTAATTTCACAGACATTGCCAATGGAAGTAAATTAAAATGAGTCTCTTTTTTCAAGTTGCCAGTGTTTCACGCACAAACTGGCTCCTATTGTTTAACGGCAATACGCAGTACAGCTAAGACCCTCATATTGTGACCCGTATTTTATTTTTTAATAAATGCTTTATTGATAAGGTTTTATTGATTGTTCAAGTAATAAAAAGAATAGTAGCTGCAGAACAATCGTCTAAACAAGGAAATGGTAGCATGGTACACTATTCTAGTAATGCTTAACATTGGCCAAATAGCAGTCTTCGGCTAAAAGGGCTTGGGCTAGATTCTTCGATTACCTCGCAAATGTAAGATAAAAATTTTAACTTACAGCAGTTTAGCATCACTATTTTTAATCAAAACTAAACAAAATGATGGATAATTTCGTCCTTCGCCGTCATGGCGAACTCCAATGCATCTGTAGTGAAGAATGTTTGCAACAGCCTTACTTTTGCCCTTGTTACTACGAGTTCGTAACCGTTTTAACAATGAACTGCACTTTTGGATATTTGCTAGTGTGCACTGTAATAAGTCTTATCTCACGACCCACTAATCGATTTAACAAATCTAGCGCGAATGCCGAGAAGTCAGGGTACGTACTGCACATATATACATATGTATCGTTTTCTACGTGCCGTTGGTCACAATAGGTTAGCTACTATACCGCAATGAATATACCTGTACTCGTCCCGGCTGAGGTTTGCTAAAATATTGCAATCGTCGTGCTGCATGACTCGGAACGATGAGGAGATGTGGTGGTTTTCCAGGACTGAGCGATCATTGTAGATGAGTGCCGTCTCGGAGCGGGACATGACGTGAAAATTATTCGTTGTGCCGGTATGTTCGTAGTCGTGGATAATTGCCGCAAATATAGTCGCGAAAATCTCCAGGTCTGTTAGCCAGTTCTGCAATAATAATAATCGTCATCATAAAACGGAATCAGAATACAAAAACGGTCTAATGTAAAATACATTTTATGTTAAATGGTCGGTGTAAATTTCAGTTTCTGTTTACTTTGCAGTTAGGTCAAGCTCGTTTGTATCCTACGCCAGTAATCAGAGCCTCATCACCAGCGATTACATTATGTATAAGGATTAGGATCAAAGGAAGCCGAATGGATTAAAAGAAATTAGGTCGAAAATGATCATTTTCGACATGCACCTTCTTTTTTATGGACCTAATTACGATTAGGTTTCACCTGTTTCCTAGCACATTGTATCAAAGCACTCAATTCTTCCGCTTGCATTTTTCTTCCAAACTATTATTGCTTTCATATGGATTGCTGCATCGCCATCTCTTGTTCAATAACGTCTGCTAATAAGCGTTCCCCACTATCGAGTCACCCTCGTCAAACCCCTTCTTCCGACTGAACAAATGTCAAAAAGCTATGTACTTTCATATTGGCACAGCTTTAATGTGTATTGATAGATCAATTTAGTTCGTTGCCACGTCCTGTCTTTGGCGCTTCTCTCAGAGTTTCGCGTTCCGTGAATTTCTTTGAGCTCTAATTGTTTTTGTTCATATCCATATCGTTTTCTGTCAGAGTCCAGACATCCAGAGCCATTAAGTATTACACCGAATTGTATATTATCATAGCTATTACTAAATATTTTGAGTCCAGCCCTGCCGTTAGCTTCGGATGCGCATTAGCGGATTCAAATTTAGACCAGTAAGATTAGCGGGCAAATAGGTCGCCCATGAAGCTATTACAGGGACACAATAGGTATTGCGACTACTTTCATTATTACGAGATTTTTATTAAGCGAGGGCCACGATGCCATTGATCTATCTAACATCTAAAGATGTTAGATAGTAACAGACACAGTCTACAATGGTACATCTGGCAGGATTGCGGCGTTCGACTTCAATGGTGGCGTTATATATATTGTGTGTCATCTTTTCATTTGACTTAATAGGCACAGCAGTGGTACTAACAGTAGTTAGACTTTAATTCCGAGGCGGCTGGTAGCGGTACAGCCGGGGGTAATGTGGTGTTTCACCTCCACCGTCATCAATCTCTCTCCGATCTTAACCGTCACCTACGAAACTGGTTCGAATAACCTCTACTAGTCTTTAGCAAAAAAAGCTGCCACCTAACCAAATCGTTCCTATTTAGGTAGAGCATTATAACCTACAGATTGTCTTACAAACAGTTATCATGCTCGATAATAACTACTTATTTCCCCCATACATTGTTTTACCGTTTTGGAAGCGCTGTCATTTAAAGCAGCGCGCTAGTATGCTTGTTAGTTATGGTTACCATAGCAACGTACTTAGCCACTCAATTTACGCCCCTTCTTCAAAGCAGTGGGTACGGTAGAGCATATAGACAATGAGTATTAAAATACTGCGATGTTCTACGGCAATCTTGATGGTTATCTTTCTTCAGAGTGCTAAAGGGGGTCTACTTGAAAAGGGAAGGGCAATCTCGTGTCTTGGCAAGATCCGACCAAAGTTAGGCTTAGTGAAGCGAGGTTCCTTAGGCAAGAACAGACTTATCGTAAGGTACCTGGCAAGCTATAAACGGGATTGCATTCTCGTCTAGGGATGATACGCATTAATTTTATAATCTACTTCGCCAACACTTAATTAATGAAGCAAAACGTATAAAATTTAATCATGGAGCTAGCGAACAGGGAACTGCGAGAGGAAACAAAGCTACCAACTAAATGGATCATACCATGTTTTGCGATATTCCCACGTAACAAAGCAGTATTGAAGAATCAGCCTAAATTGCCTAAATCATTGTTGTGATTATTCCTGGCTCGTACCTTTACTTTACCTAAATGAGTATCTACGTTGCTCTTTCTTGCATGTATCTATTTCACAATTAGTCTACTTAGTAAACACTCGTTTTCCCTTGCACACGGCATACGTACATTTATACGCAGCAGTAAGGGGAACCACTCATTGCTTCTGGCAACTAACCCCACTCGATACCGATGTACTCCCCCACTTAGTAAATTCGTAAACTTCTCTGGCCGGTCGAGTAATCGATGTCTGAAAGCATGTACGCGAGTACAGCTGCGTTCACTGCCTGCGATCCTTCACTGTTGTTGTTAACTTCGGGCTTCTTATTTGAATGCCAACCATATTCCTTGTCTCAGTCGTCGTGCTCTGTTTAGTAATGAGAGCCACCTGGAGCCTTGTTCGAACCTCCATTGCAAAGGCTTTATGCAAAGTCCCCTTTCTAATACGCCAACATCGTGATAATCGATGTAGTAAATCCCTTCGCATTAACAATTATCTTTCGCTGCCAAAGTCAATTTATTAACGATATCGCCTGTCTAGCACATTGTGATAAATGCGCGACACACTATAGCGCCGTAGCATTTTTCAATTTCTTCAAAAGGCCTAAATTAGATGACCATCAATCGTTCTTTGATAATGTCAGATGATGCATAAATAAAAATACATTATACCACAATTATATTTACCACATATTCCGATAGGTTAGTTCGCATTAACAATTATGGATAGGTCAAGTTTGAAGTCTTGCCATGGGATCAAACAGTGGCAAGTAAGCCGGTGTTCGGCGCATGATGGAGTAAATACTTAACCCTATTTTACAAAGAAATTGAAGTTTTAGCAATATATTATTTGTATTAAGTAAAAAAAATAAGTGCGGTAATTGATAATGGGCGAAGCAGATGTAAATAGAAACTTCTGTTCAACGGCCGTAAAAGTATTTAATATAGTGTAGCGTGAGGCGGTTCTCGTAGCAGACTAGGGACATTCTTTGACGCGTTTTCAATTAATATCTCCAGCATCATTAAACGACTAGCCATATATAAAGGTCTACCCTGAATTCAATGTATTTTGTGATTGATGTGACGTTTATGCTGGATAAACGAAAGTATTGGTCGTCCAAAATTTTTCGAAATGAGTCAGCGATTATGTGTGAAGGACCGCAGCCATTCGGATCTCCGCCGATCGGATGTCAAAAGCATTGCTTACACTGTTGAATACCAAAAACCGGAAATGGGTTACTGATCACATTCTGACCAGGCTTGATTTAGAGGTACCAGATTGTTTCAAGGTACGTGTTGCCTGCCGCGTTCATTAAGTACTTTTGCCGGGCGATTGATACGCGCAACGATATAAGCCAATGGTATGTCGACAAACACGTAACACCTCGATGAATCGCAGCTCCGGCTAGACGAACTAATAGCAGACCTTATTTCTAGGAAAGACCTATATTTTACTCGAGGCCTCCCTTCGCCTTTCCCACACAGCCTTTCTTCCACAACGAAATGATACTGCGACACTTTCATCCGCCTATTTATCATTGGCAGAAAAACGCTGATTTGACGAGCGATTGTTGAATGTTACTTCGCTGGCTTAAGCTTGTCGACCAGGCTGACAGAATACGTTAAATAAAAACGATACGATATATCTATTACTAACGCGCTACTGAATGCTAAACGATACATTGTCATGCCGATCTCTATAATCTATACACTAGTTTAACAGAGACACAATCGATTCCGCAAACCATCTACAAGAGGCTTTGTTTATAGAACGTGCCCAGAACAGGGCAGAACTTTCATGAAGGATGACGAAAGCTAGTACAGCGTAGCCAGCAAGGTAAGTGAACATTGTCAAAAATGTAGAACCTTCCTTTTTGAAAAGTCAATATTCATTATGCTAACCATTTCGTTTCCAGGGTAGATACATAGTTGATGATATTGCAGCACAGTTTTCAAAGTTACTTTTCAAGGAACGTTTATATAAGTTCTGTGACTGATTCATATGAATGTAATTCTCTAATGAATCTTAATATGGGCATGTTTCGTATCAGGTGAGGACCGTGCTTGTTCAATCCACGTAAGCGTCATACGTATACATGAAGCATACAGGGGCGTGCGCAGGACGCTTGCTGCTATTTTCATCACATGCTAATAAAATGTCATTGATTATAAGCATAGTTGCGTGATTCTCATTTTTTACCTAGTATAAATGAGTACAACAGGAAGACATTTACTGCCTGATTGAAGATTGTAAATATTTTATTTGTACATAGTCAGCAAAGCAGCATATATTATATCTGATTACGTCCTTATGTGCCTCATGTGTACGTAGAAAAAGGTTCGAACCCCTGTGCTGTTTACTAGAGTAATTTTCGGCCGTAAATCGACTACTGCTGCGTTTGTCCATCCGATTGATGAAAGCAAGCTCGAGAGCTTTAATGTTTGACCCGTCTCACTTAGTTGTTGCTTTCGAACATCACCAGCCATGAATGAATGCATGCCAGGTGTGATTAATTAGCACAGATCCTAAAATAGGCTTTCTCCTGACCGACGGTTGTCAAACTGAATCCCTACGGAGATTCATAGAAGCGAACAAGTCTTATATGGTTACCTCGAGGTCACTTAAGCCTCTTTTAATCAGCCCCTGCTCTGACGTGCTAGTCTTCTGGCGGATTGCATTTTCCATTCTTCCAAATAATTGAGTACTGAAATGCTCCAGGTTCCTGAAGACATTTCTGCCTACTGACAATTGCCTGTAGCAGTGGTTATTAAATGAAAACTAACATAAAACTATGGAGAATCTCTGCATACTTGTCTCGCGCATGTAATTCTCCTGCTAGATGATCTGCTAGAGCCACGACCACTAAACCCACGACAAGCTACCAGTCACATAACTTTTCGCGATAAAGACCTTTCGGCGCAATATGCTAGGATGCCTTCTGCTCGATCTGCCAAATCGCGTGCTATTACTTGTTGTCCAGATATTTAGTACCTTTTTAAGGTGGTCAGTCCTTACTGAAAACGGGCAGGCAGAGCTCCGTGCATACGAAACGGAGCTTACGGAATAGGCGAATGCGCGTTTGAATACATGGCGTAGGATTGTCAATGGTTCGCCCACTTTACCGACACGATAGATAACTATGGAAGAGGGACCT